TCTCTCGGCGATGTTGTCGTGGTTGCAAGTGATGCTGAATCCATCGGGTAACTGGTTTATAGCTTAACAAAAAAAGACTTTTTTTACTCACCTCCGTAATNATTTAAAATTCAAATTCAAAACTCTCTCTCTCTCTCTCTCTCGTGGCGATGTTGTCGTGGTTGCTAGTGATGCTGAATCCATCGGGTAACTGGTTTATAGCTTAACAAAAAAAGACTTTTTTTACTCACCTCTGTAAATATGGTTAAGGTTTCAAAAAAGATCATTTGTCCATTCTTTTTCTGTTTCTCAAAGCTCAAATTGTTGTTTCATATTATCTATCTATATGTGTATTTGTTTCAAATTATCTATATGTGTATTTTTTTAAAATATTATTATTTTTGAGGCTTGAATGTTTCATGTTAGTGTTACTGATTGTGTTACTATTTTTGTTGAACATGTTATTATTATTATTTTTTTAAAATATTAATATTTAATGTTACTATATTTTTATGTTTAATGAATTTTATAACAAACAAATTTTCTTTGCGAAATGAAGTCCAAACAAATTCAGGCCCCAAATTTCCCATCATTTAACAGCCCTAACTATGGTCCTATATTGGGCTAATGGGCTCGCTGGGAAAGTTCATATTGTAGTGGGCCTTGTGACGGTTGGCCATTGCTATTTTGTTCTTCCTCGTCCACGGCTTTGCTAGGGTTTTAGCTGAGAGTTGAAGACTACAAAGCTCTCAGTGACCCCAAATCAGTAGTAGTAGTTCTACTCAATCATCTCACATGGATCCTTCTGCTCTAAACTCAGCGGAATTAGAGCAATTTATCAATGTAAGTTTTCTCTATTTTTTGTATAAATTGTATTCACTCACTCTGTCTCTATTGATCCCCATGTGTACTAGTGTTTCCAAATTCTGAAGTGTATAATGTTCGAATTGATGCTATACTGTTTGGCTTTGAATATCGGATATGAGTGTGCCATTTCTTGTCCCAAAAAAGATTCTTAATGAGTTACCAATACTTTGTCCGTGTGTGTGTGTGTGTGTGAGAGAGAGAGAGAGAGAGAGAGGATGCATATTGGAAGAAACTTTTTCTTCAATAGGAAAAATGACAAGTTGTTTAAGCTAAATGTGAAAAAAGTACATGGGAGGACAAGGAATCCTCAAAATGGGGACCCACTGATCCAAGGATCCCTGCTGATTTGGGATACAATTTGGGATCCCAAATTTGAGGATCCCTAGCATTACTCGATGCAAAAAGCTATAAGCTTAACACAGAACACACATTAAGATGTTCAAGCCTCAACAATCAGCACATACTTGACGCCAGATGCCAAAGATACTTGATGAAAATGATCCTTAGCAGTGGAAGCCAAAAGGGAAACCTTGAAAATGATTTTATCCCATAAGTTTTCCTGAGGATTCTTTATTTCTTAAAAAATGTACGCATTCCTTTCCAACCACACCACCCTTGCATACAGGTAAGTAACTGTAAAGAAATTGTGATTATGTGACTTGTTTTGGCTATTTCTCTCTCTCTCTCTCTCTGTTGCCAATTGTAGAGTCGGATTATTTCTTATGCCTTGGGGATTGTATTAGGGAATATCATGTTCAGCCTTATTTTGGTGTTTGAAAAATAAGGAACACAGGACAGTTCCGTGTTGAAAACCTTTCCTAGTAGCTATCTCCCCTTAATGGTACACATATGTGGGTTGTCTATTAATTGGTTCTTGAAATGTTCCAATTTTGCAATTCTTTTCTATTCAAAAGGAAATTGAGCTTGATGTTGGTCTGCTTTTCAAAAAGTGACAAATTATAGAGAGAACAGCCAGTTGGACAGATTATAGAAATTTGTCATGGAAGTATAAGTTGAGCACTCATACAGTAGGAATGTTATATATAGATGGATGACATAAACATGGAAAAAAGAAATTTTTGTAAGGGGAAAAAAGGGAAAAGTTTGATTTACCCAANTTTGTCATGGAAGTATAAGTTGAGCACTCATACAGTAGGAATGTTATATATAGATGGATGACATAAACATGGAAAAAAGAAATTTTTGTAAGGGGAAAAAAGGGAAAAGTTGGGGGAAGACATGGTAACTTACAAGGGATCAGTTTTTTGGTTAACTTTCCATCCATCAACTAATAAGGTACAGTTAGAGAGCCGAGGTGATTTGAATTATGATTTCTTTTTAGTGGCTTCACCTTTTTTTTGATGAGATTGAGACATGTTTACCTGTTTTCTAAAGCTTTTTCGATGCTTCTCTTATTAGGGTGAAATGCGTGCTCTTTCATTTGGCACTTATTTCTCAAATAGTTTGATGATTAAAACATTGTACAATATATATGAATGTTTGCACCTTATAGATTACTTGGTTGGATATCACACTGTAGATGTGACATCTGGTTAGATGAGGAGATTGAGTACCATTGTGGTTGCTTTATAATTGTCACCAGACGTAAAGTTTCTTATCGGATGGAGCAATGTTAGTATTTGTAAGATTCCACAGGGGAATAAGTATTGATGAGCCTTACTCAATCTCACCATTTTGTGTTCATAAAGCTCAGAAATTAAGCTTATGTGTTATGGGGTGAACTATGATTTGTTGACTCTTTGTGTTCAAGTTTTGTTGGGCAACTTAGGGCTTCTTTCCACTGCGTGATTCTGAATTTAATGAATCGTCAATGCAGCAAGAAAAGCAAAAGGCTATGGTTAATGAAATGGTTGCAAAGCTTACAAGCGCATGTTGGGACAAATGCATCACTAGTACTCCGGGAAACAAGTTCAGCTCCAGTGAATCAGCTTGCCTCTCCTACTGTGCTCAGCGCTATATGGATATGAGTCTCATAATCATGAAACGCTTTCAGTCTATGCAATGAAGATCTTGCTTGAGCTCTTATCTCAGAGTCAGAAAGATCTTGTGTTTCGCTTACTCCAGCAGTTAATTAGCTGTTGNCAGTGAATCAGCTTGCCTCTCCTACTGTGCTCAGCGCTATATGGATATGAGTCTCATAATCATGAAACGCTTTCAGTCTATGCAATGAAGATCTTGCTTGAGCTCTTATCTCAGAGTCAAAAAGATCTTGTGTTTCGCTTACTCCAGCAGTTAATTAGCTGTTGAAAATGTGTTGTATTTCAGGTACTACTCGAAACCAGTTATTTTGAAGTATCTTTTATAATTTGGTGTACTTTCCTCACATGACAGCCATTGGGCACACCTTCTTAATGTGATTTTCACTGAAATAATGTTATTTTGTTTTGGCTTCTAATAGAATATTCTTCAGCCCTTCAAAGTTAATTTTCTTGCCTGACTTGTGGGAAGCATATTATGTANCTCGAAACCAGTTATTTTGAAGTATCTTTTATAATTTGGTGTACTTTCCTCACATGACAGCCATTGGGCACACCTTCTTAATGTGATTTTCACTGAAATAATGTTATTTTTTTTTGGCTTCTAATAGAATATTCTTCAGCCCTTCAAAGTTAATTTTCTTGCCTGACTTGTGGGAAGCATATTATGTTGACACTCACAAAATTATATAGCAATTGGTCACAGGCCAAAACGTGAATAGTCAAAAAATCAAAAAAGATCAAAGGAAACATTCATGCTTCTAATAAGATAATAGCTCTAAACCCATGTTGCCCGAGACACTTAAAGCATTTCTAATCAGGGGTGGAGCCAGAAATCCTTATGAGAGGGGGCAAAATATTAACATAACATTTTTGAATTTCAAGCATGAGAAATTTACAAAAATTTAAGATGAAGTTACTAAATGAAAAATAAAATCAAGAACATTTAACCTTAATAAAGATAGACAAAAAGTATAAAATAATTTTTATTTTGTATAATTCAACTCAATCATATTAAAGTAGAATACTATACTCTTTCAAATTCCATAATTATATATACTTGATTAGTTCTTCATATTATTACGAAGATTAGTTTCGTCTTATTGAAGAATTGGTTACTTGGAAAAGAAAAAAATAATAATTTTGAGCTAGGACATTATACCATTTGCATCTAATTGTGTTACCGGATTATATACCCGCTAAATTACCCAAAAAAAGAAAAAATGAAGGCATTATGCAACATTTTTTAGAAAATAGGGACAATGTGTCAAATGTAATCATTGTCTATTGATCAATATATGCACTCCCGTTGTACTCAATCAGAAAAAAATTATTTTACTGGTTTAGGGCATAGTGGGCCACTAATTAATGTAAAATCAATCCGTTGTACAAGTTTTTTGAA